TCTCTCTCTCTCTCTCTCTCTCTCTGCCCCTCCCCAACTTGTGCCTGTCTCACTCTCTCTCTCAAAAATAAATAAACACTAAAAAAAATTAAAAATACTATTTCTCTGATTAGTACTCCAAGGACCTATTACAAAACTGACTACCAGAACCACCCCCCCCAAATTCTGAAAGTACTACTTATGTAATACATTTTTTCATCATCATGTCTATTTGGCAATAAGTTATGTTAATTTTTTAAATGTTTATTTAGTTTTGAGAGAGAAAGAGAAGCACAAGCTGGGGTGAGGCAGAGAGAGAGAGAGGGAGACACAGAATCTGAAGCAGGCTCCAGGCTCTGAGCTGTCCACACAGAGCCTGACGCAGGTTAAACCCACAAACCATGAGATCATGACCTGAGCTGAAATCAGATGTTTAACCGACTGAGCCACCCAGGCGCCCCAAGTTATATTATTTTTGAGAAGTACACGTTTAAAGTGAATTTAGAAAAGTTGCAATCAAAATACAAATGTGATAACTACTGAGAGATTAGTGCTATATGATGCCGCTACATCCAGATATTTATTTTGGATGTTATATTTATATAACACCAAATATTCTAATATTTATGACTTTGAGATGCTCTTTTAGCTAGATAAAATGTTTATATAGTTGAATTAGTCACTTTTCATTACAGTTCTGTGACATGTGGAGACATATAATACATACCATGTATTACTTTTTAAAATATCTTTAAAACCAGGAATCTTGTTTTAGGCTTTATTTTGCTTTAGGTTTAGTTTTTGTTTTGTTTTTTTAATTTTTCTAAGTTTATTTTGAGACAGAGTGTGAGTGGGGGAGGGGCAGACAGACAGAGGCTGACAGTGTAGAGCCTGATATAGGACTCGAAACCATGAGATTGTGACCTGAGCCGAAATCAAGAAGCAGACACTTAACCGACTAAACCACCCAGGTACCCCTAGGTTTAGTTTTAAATTAAAACATTATTGATAGATAGATTTTCCTACACTTAACTCTTATCATTCTCCCTAATTTCTTGCAGTTCTTGTCCACATGCACATGTATTATATTTATACAATTATAATCAAAGTCATGGTATATTTTTACTTTCTTTAATGTTTTTTTATTCTTTTTTAATATTTACTTATTTTTGAGAGAGAGAGGGAGACACAATCTAAAGTAGGCTCCAGGATCCGAGCTGTCAGCACAGAGCCTAACAGGGGGCTGGAACTCACAAACTGTGAGATCATGACCTGAGCCAAAGTCGGGTGCTTAACCAACTGAGCCACCCAGGTGCCCCTAAGGTTCATTTATTTTTGAGAGAGAGAGCGTGTGTGAGCAGGGGAGAGGCAGAGAGAGGAGATAGAGAATCCCAAACAGGTTCCACGCTGTCAGCACAGAGCCCAATACAGGGTTTGAACTCACAACCAGTGAGATCATGACCTGAGCCAAAGTCAGACACTTAACCAACTAAGCCACCCAGGTGCCCCTATTTTTACTTTTATTGTTAGTATTAATAAACATTTTTTTCATGTTGTTCCTTAGATTTCACAATTACAATTGTTACAAACATCATGATATTGTATTTGTCTTGAGACATTGGAATTTTTAGTATTACTATTACAGGCATATCTGTCATAGATACTAACTTTTGGATTCTTGTTTAAATATTCTTTTTCAGAAATGGCCCATGCGATCAAGATTATACATTGGTGCTACTGGTCAGTTTCTGAAGCATTCTGTGTCTGGAGAAAGAGCAAATCATGGCAGTACTACAACAGACTCACAGCCTTAGGCTCTCCTCTGATGGGTGCTGGTAGAAAGTGGCGTCATTTTTAAATAGTAGGAAATAATTCTATATTTATTACATCAGACATAACAAACATCATTCCTGAAAGTTCACATGTGAATCCATGGTTGGAAGTTCAGATTTATCTGTCTAATCTATATAAATATGGATTTAAATAATTGGTCTTGGATAAAACATCCAGCTTATCTATTCATTGTGAGAGATAGTCACTACTGAATACTGTAAGAAAAACTATTGGAAAAAAGAAAAACACCAAAATCGAAGAATTGTGTATGTATCCAGAGACTGTACATGTTTTCTGTAGTATATCTAGTACACGCTGAGAAGCTGATACCTTAATAGTCTTGATACCAGTATTCCATTTTTGTGAAAACCAGTTTGTGCTTAAAGTTGGTCTAAGAAGCCATTTCGGTTGGAAAGCATGAGATCATTTATTCAGTTTTAGCTAAGTACGTGTGAAAAGATTGTTGAGATAATATGAAGTTGCAGTAACTTCTATAACTAGTTATTTTTCCCTCTTAGAAAACTTGGAGTATTAGAATAGTTTGCTGTATTGGACAGGGCTTGGCCACCTTCCTAGATGACTATTAAATATCTTACTATGTTTCCAAATTGTGGAAGGCTTTGGGAATCCCTGCAGCCCAGTGTGAATAGCAGATAAGTGTCACTGGGCAGAGGGTTTGTCACCCTCCTCCCTGGTTACTTCACCTCCATCCCACCCGTGTTCAGGTCCTGGACTAGATGAGCAGGTGCAGCTGCAGCCATCTTACAGAGAGCCAAGCCTGTCAGGGGCTTCAAGTGAGCGCCCATGACCATTGACAGTCACTGCTTTGGCTAGGCTCCTTCTCTCCCTTGTCAATTGCCGTTCACAATCTACCTACTTGGCCATTACGAAATATGAAAAAACTGGGGCGCCTGGGTGGCTTAAGTCAGTTAAGCGTCTGACTTCTCAGGTCATGATCTTGCCATTCATGAGTTCAAGCCCAGCATCCGGCTCTGTGCTGTCAAGCTCAGAACCTGGAGCCTGCTTTGGATGTGTCTCCCTCCCTCTCTGCCTCCTCCATCACTCAGGCTCTGTCTCTCAAAAATAAATAAACATTTAAAACTTTAAAAAAAAAAAGAAGAAATGGGAAAAAACCTGTCTGATTTGGGAATTCTGGCACTGATCTGCACCTTGAGAGAGTCTGAGGACACAGAGTGACTACCTTGAGATAAATCAGGCCAGAGCAGACCCCACTGAATCTGCCCCAATTTAACCTACAACAGGAAGGTGCCCTGCTATGGGCCTCTCCCACCACACTACACACCAAGTGCTCAGGGAGCTGCTGTTCTGCCTGATTGCACCAGTTTCGGTTTTCAGCAGAAGCTTGAGGGTCAGAGCCAGAAAGTAGGAATGTTTGTCGGGGAACACATTGAATCTCAAAATAGGGTGTAATACAGATTTAAAAAATCATCAGTCTCTTATGTCTTAACTCCCTTTCTTCTTTTTCTCCTCAGTCCTTACTATTCCACTTTCCAACTGTAAAGTTCATTTATTTCTAAATAACCCAGTGTTAAAGTAACTGAATTTGATCCAAGATTAGCAAATAGAAAGGTATATTAATGGGCTTATGGACTTAGTTGGATTAGTATAGCTGTTGACCACCATTTTATTTTCTCCTCACCTCAGTTTTCTTCTAGCTTTTGGCAGTGAAATGATGTGAAAGACCATTTGAAGGCAAAAACTGTCATTCAGTTGATTCAGCTGAACATGGCTCATACCTGATAGTTTGTCATTTTCATTACTTTAATGTGAATACTCCTTGTAATGTGACCAAAGCATGTGTTTAAAAGAGGAAGCATATAATAAAAACTTTCTACATATAAATATGTAGCAAAAATGTTTACATACTTAAATATTTGTGAATATATTTACCCACTCATATAACATTGAAAGGAATAAAATGTAAAATGAGATATGAATTTAGCCATTCACTATTATAAGTTATTGCCATAAAAAGTGCTAAGAATAATCTTTTATCTTAAGGAAGGAAATCAAACTTCTTTATAGTTACCTGAAACTGAACTCTAAATACTACATATGATAGCAAGAATTTCAGAAAAATGGTTTCATTGCTAATAATAAAAATAATCTATTTGGCTACAGTTGTTAAAGCATTTAATTGGGGGAAAATAATGACTTTTGTTGAATTCATCCTGTTAAATAGTTAAGCTTCGCCTTTAACATTACTACTTTTTATTTCTTCTTGTCAACTTACAAAAAAGAAATGTTTTAATGCCAAAGAAGTATATTTCTGTCATAGGTTCACATAACATTTCATTAAATTGCTAAATATGCTAACAACTTTTGGTTGTTGTTTTGGTAGGCTGGAAAATCTCAAGGGAGAAATTGCATACTTTCACCCAAAGGTTCAAAGGAGCATGCTGTTTTACTTAATGGTGCATGGTCAGGATAAGGGTATTACTAAAATAAAGCATTACTTTGAAAATTAATTTAGTCTGTTAAATTTGCATCTGTCTCTGTGGACATTTAACAAATATTTAAGGTACTTAAGGTACATTTTAAATATTTCTAGTAGATAACTATTTGGCATTAGATTCTTCACCGTGCTCTCCTTAACAGAGTATATATGAGGACTGGGGATGGGGTATATTTGGATCACAGTAGTATTCCATCGTCTGCAAGGAAAATCCTAGGTTAAATTTCTGTCATTTCACTCAGCTCTCAGCAATATGACATATATTTAAATTCCTCTGTAATGAAAATTTTAGAGGATAGGGAAGTATCTTTTTAGAAGTATAACCAGTTCCAACAGACTTTAAAAATATTCTTTTTCCGATTATAAAAGTACAGTGCAGTTTATCGTATGTCAGTTATGCATCAGTAGTTACATTAAAAGTATATACATACCCATTTTAAAAATCAGAACTTAATAATAAAAGGGATAATGTGGAAAGTAAAAGTCCTACAATGGAAGAGGGTGTTTGGGATACAGAGTAAGGGTGAGGGAATCTATGTTACCTGTTAGTAAAGAGTGGTTTTGCATGTTTATAAGGTTTATTTGGCCAACTACTTCAATCTGCAGTTATAGATATCTTAAATAGTGGTTTTCTTATCTATTCATGGAGACTTTATTTAAACATAGAAGAAGCTGTGCAAAAAGAAAAGAAATGCTGATTGACCTTGCTGAAATTATGTCATTATTTTAGTTGAAATTGCTTTTTAGGTTAAATTATTCAATAATTTCACTTTCTCTCATGGGTCCTCATTTGATATTCATGAAAGCAACTAACCAGTTATTGTCAAGAAAAGAAAAAGTATTCAGGCTCCAGTAAGATCTCTCTATCTCTCTTTTTTCTATTGGACAGAGGTAATTCTCTATATATTTTTCCAGCACATGATTTAATCTTTTTCTTTAACCCCTGGTATATTTATTATAGTGCCATTCTGAGGAAATAAGCCAATGCAGAAAAAACATTTCTGCAGTGGCCTACATGATCCCCTTAAAAATCAACACATGAATTGTATTTGGCATAATTATAAGACAACTTGCTTGTTGGCTCCACATAAAATTGTATTCTTAGCTGGAGGGGAGAAGAAATTATAAATCACAACAGACTATGATCCAAACTTATATATTAACTATCTTACTTTGAGAGGATGGCTTAATCTAAATACTCTTTCCTAACCCTATATAGGTTATTGCAGATTATATCAATCATATTGTATTTGAAAAGATACGAACTTGAACTCTTCAAGCATTGGCAGATTCTATTTTAATCTGGTAACAGATTCTTTTTTTTAAATCATTGCTGGAGGATGTGACATCTACAGATTCCCAAATAACTTAAAACTAGTAGGGTACTATTTCTACCTTTCTCCATGGTACACACTTTAGATCTTTTAGTTTTGTTTTTGTTCTTATTGTGACTTTAAAAATATCCAGGGGTGCCTCGGTGGCTCAGTCAGTTGAACATCCAACTCTTAGTTTCGGCTCAGGTCATGATCTCCTGGTTTGTGAGTTCAAGCCCCACATCAGGCTCCATGCTAATAGTACAGAGTCTGCTTGGGATTCTCTTTCTCTGCCCCTCCCCCACTTTCTCTCATTCTCTCTTTCTCTCTCTCTCTCTCTCTCTTTGGTCCCTCTTGGTCTCTCTCAAAAATAAGTAAATAAACTTTAATAAAAATATCCAAAAGCTAAGATTCCCAAATTTTAAAAGCAACACTAGAGAACTATAAAATTGTAGATCTCAAAGAAATTAATATGCATTTGTTACATATTGGTAACAGTATGAAACTGTTATAACCGAAAAAAATGAATGCCCTTAAATCCTATAGATTTGCTTCCCACAGACTTTGAGGACAGCACAGATGGTACTGCAGCACGGTTGGGAACATGGGACATTAAGTATTCTTGCCTAACTACATAAACCGGGGAAGGGCTTCCCTTCCTATGTTTATACAAGTCTTAGTTTCAACTCATAGGAGAAACCAGCTCAGTGAAATATACCTCAATCACTCAAACTCTTTCATTATAAATTGTACCATAGCATTCAGCTGTCAGAAGCTTTTAAATTATAAACTGAAGAATAAGCTTAACTATTAGGCTTAAAGATTATGTCAATAGTCATTTCCTGTGCATATGATGTTACTGAAGAAACTCATGCATTCCTGCCTTCTCAGGACCAAGAAGTATGTCCATGGGGAGTTCTGGGGATGGACTTAAATCACTTGTCTCCATTTTTATGGTCAGTGCAAAGTCTAAATAAGAATTGATTTTAAACTTTCTTATTTTCCAGTAAGTTCTGAAATCACTCAATTTAGAAATTTTAAATGTGTCCTATTATAAAGTATCTTAGTGCTTTACATAGAGGGGCTTATCATACAGATCAATATATATTTTTTTCATTAAGTTGTATTTAAAAGAAAAAAAAAGTCCTGCGCCAGATTGTTTCTTCTTTGCGTGCAGTACATCCGTGCCTCT